CGTCAGCTTTCTTGTACGTCCATGACTGTTCTGGCTTCCCCTCATGCACCCCCATTCCCGTCCCCGTTTTTTTCCGCTCCACGCCGTCCGGAAGTTCCACCGCATGGCTCCACCTCGCATTGTGCACAGACTCGTAGCATCCCTCCAGTTTCTCCGGTGCGCTCGTCGTCGTTGGGTCCCTCGCCTCCTCGGCAGCTGCATCCAAGAAATGTTTGGTGGAGTTATGAACAGCTGCTTTTACCTCCGCAGCAGCTAATGACCACCCCGGTAGATTATCGACACCGTTATCGCAAAGCTTGCGTATATCCTCATCGAAGATCACTTCACCCTTTACAGCTCGCTTCATACTCAAATAACGATCCGATGCCTGTATTTCGTTCAATGCTCCTTTATCACGGATATACTTCGTGGGGTCCTTGAAAAACTTCTCCGGCAAAGCACTCCGATTGGTGTCCACAACGCCCCTGCCGTCCAGTTCCCTCGTAAGATAGTCGCTCAGCTTCATTTCATTGACGCGAGCTCTTCCTTTAAACAGTACATCTTCGATATTAGTGGAAATGGTAAATTTCATTTCTTGCGTTCGTCTTAGCCTTTTCTCTGCCTCCCGCCTCGCTTCTGTCAGTACCTGCGTGGGTACTCCGTTTGGTTTTCCCCTTGCAAGAGGAGTGATCGTATCCTTTTCTTTCATAGTCCCTACGTTGCCCGAGAGAGAGCACACCTTCGTGAAGAGGCTTAGTAATGGCCTCCAGCGCTTGGTACGCAGTTAAGTTAAGAATTTTTTCAAGAAGCTGCTGGTCTTGTACGTAATCATCCGGCTCCTGAACAAACATCTCCATCGTCACATTGTATTCTTTCATCAACGGCCGCCCTGCCGCCAACATAATTCCAAAGGAAATCACTCAGCATCCTGTTGGTGATGCTAGTGTTTCCCTCCTGAAGGATTTCCTCTACGGTGCTGCTCATGGTCCACTGCGGCCACACTTTACTCCCCGCCACACGTCGAGCTGCAGCGTCGGAACCATCACAAGAGCCACGGCGAGGTGCCACCACAACACCCGTGCGGTGAAGCATCCCAGTCGCACCGCCCAACTGCGGCCAGCAGGTGCCGCTGGCTCCAAAGGACACTCACGGCTGTTCCGTCCCGCTGTCCCAATGGCGTTGGGCGTGGCACTCGCACGGCTCGGTGGTCGGTGCGCCATGCAGCAGCACTGCAACGCCTGTCGGTGAAGCAGCCGAGGCCCATCGCCTCCGCAGCAACGCAACGTGTAATCGACCAACCCCAACACCGCCACACTATCGCCCTTTTTCATTTTGTTTTATTCACTTTGTCGGTCTGTTTGCCCCATTACCAACACCAAAAATAAGTGCACACCTTCACAAAAGGGAAGGAACAAAGAAAAATAAGGGAGGCACAATCCCACCGTCCCAATGCAACTCAGCACTCCCCTCCACCCACCACCATTGCCGCACAGGAAACCGCAGTCACATCGGAGAGTCAGCACCGCAATGTGCACCACACCACCGTGCACCGAACGATAGGCGGGACGCGGCCATGCATCGCCCCGCTCCATTTTCCACCACTCAAGTGTTGCGTGCCCACACAAAGTAGCAAACAGAATCAGAGTGCACACAAACCCAATCATCCCCCTCACTCGCTGAAGCACATTATTCGCATGGAGTGACAGTTAAGGACACACCAGCAGTAGCTGGCTGCATGGAATTTCCCTGCCAACCCTGCAAAGAGACACAATAACTCTGCGGAGTCAAAGTGGCAGCCCCTCGGTGTTGCCCGCAGTTCACATGGCAGGAAGAATTCCACGCACGCATAGCTCCGGATCCCGCGCTGCTTGAGTGCACATCAACAGAACATGTGAAAAATACCTGCGCGCAAGATGGAATTAAATACGTGAAAAAGTCGGCCTGCTTTCTCCGATGGCGTTGGCGAGCAATCCCACACAATCCAATCAAAGTGGCACGCCGGACAGAATGGCGTCCGTCAATCAATAAAAAAATGCGACACTGAAAAGGAGCAGAGAAGAGTTGGCGCATGCGATTGCCAGTGACAACTGTGAGCAAACCCGCCAGCACCAACTGAGGTGCCGAGGAGCACTTTTGTGTAGAACTGGACGTCAGGCAGAAAAAACAAATGAAACAAAAGGGCAGCAAACCCTCTCGTTCAATGTCTTCTGACCGCGACACCAGGATCAAAATACAATGGACGATAAGAGCGGCAACGCCTTCTCCAAAACATCTTGTCAAGAAGCCGCAGGACCTCAGGAAGGGAGGAAGGCAACGGCGGCAGCCACAGCGGGGGAGGCAATAAAACGGCTGGCAGGCACCTTCACGTCGACGCGCACACCACATCCGAGTGGGCTGGGAGCACAGATCGAACCGCTCGGAAACACACGCATCAAATACGCAAAACAAAGTCGCGTTGAATCGACAGGAACTCCCCGACCAAAACAAATTTAAAAGGTAGCGTTTTTCAAGGGAGGATCCGCTTTTCCGACGACGGCACGGACGCCTCGCAGGAACTTCTTGCAAATCTCCCTTCGCAGGTCCGCAAGAAAACGCAGCGGAATAAAAAGAGAGCGCAACGACGCAAAAAAAAAATAATCCTCCTAACCGACCAGGTGGCAGGCTGCCCTCGCACAAGTGGACAAAACACAACTTCACTCCGGTCTGGTGGTGGTGGTCGTCTCGCAACTATTTTTTTTCCTTCTCGTCGCAGTGCACATCCCCTCCCACAAATCATTTGTTCGGGCCACGTTCCTGCGGCCAAACATCGCGCTGCTGGATCCCGCGGCACAGTCCTCGGCACAGAAGTAAGGGGAGGAAGAGGGACCGCAAAAGGTGCGAGCACATCCGAATTCGGTGGCGGCCGCTGCAGTGAAGATTGACGTACCACGCGGCGTCCCTTTTCTAGGTCCGGTCCTCACCGTGCGGTGCGCCGGCCGCTCCAAACATCTACACGTGCTTGCGTCTCACCGTCGCTCCCAGCCCCGTTCGTTGGCTGCATCAGGGATGCCGCCATCCGGAGACGGGCATAAGGACGTTGCATCCAACAAAACCTTCAGAGGCACCCGGTGGGCCAACGACGACCGTCACTGCGGGATGTGTGGCCCTTCCGCCGCTCACCTCAAATCGCACTTCTACGCCTCCTCGAGCAGCAGCAGCATAAATACACCGGTCCACTAGAGGCCGTCACCAGCCATTGCAGGAAGACCACTGTGCCCCAGTGCTATGAAACCCAAATTGCACTGACGGGCCACTTCGGAAAATCCTGTCGCATCCTCCCCAATTATGCGGAAACACATCCGTCGTGCATGTGTCCACCGCAGCCAAATGAATCTGGTCCGAATACCCTCCAAATCAAATTCCCCCTTCCTCACGCCATTCCTTCATTCCATACGCCCTGACCCTCATCCGAACGTGCTCACTCACACAAGCCGCGATAGACAGATGGTGGCCGCCCAACGCTCCGGCAAAACATGCCCAGCACGCACGCGCACAAAAAATGACATGCGCAAATGCACGGCACAACGGCGGAGAAGCGCACACCGAAAGGATGCGGCCCTCCACAGCAGTCGCAGCCCACCGCGCGCATCACACCCGCTGGAAGAGTGACTCGCGGTGCGCGCTCCCTCTCTCCTCCTTCCCTTCATGCCCACGGAGAAAGCAGCAGCCACCCGCAGCCGCCAGCACACGCTACAAAAGAAGCATCCAAATCCACTGCAATGTGCATTTTGTGCGTGCATGTGGTTGTGTGTGCCTGCAGACACACGAAGCAAAGAAGTAAAAACAGGAGCAGAGCATGTGAAGGGACGCACAAACAAAAATGTACAGCAGAAGCGCATGGCAGAAATAAAGAGGAAAAGACTGCTCAAGCTCATGATATTGCACTGCAGACAAAGCAGCGGCAATTCATACAAGATATATTAAAAATTTTTTTTTAAATTCATCTTCACCTTTCCACCCCTCACACTTTGGAAAGATAAAAAAAAAAAAACGAAAAAAAAAAAAATGATAAATGAAAAAAAAAAAAAAAAAAAAAATGAAAAAAACGAAAAAATGAAAATGAAAAGCCACACAAAAAAAAAAAATTTTACCTGATTACCGTGTGCACCCACCAAAATATCTGTATATATTTTGCCCAAAAAGAAAATTAAACAGTTACATGCCTTTCAACCGTCTGACCCTCCATGTGTCCGCACATCGTTTATATTTCATGGGGTCATCTGCGGGTTGCTGCTCCCCTCAGCCTTCTCATCGGCGTGTGAGTGCGGCCTGCAGAGCACAGTCACTCGTGTGTTTGTGTGGGAAAGATGAGAGAAGCACGCAGACATGACGGGAGTCGCGTCTCTCCACCGGGGGAGTGAGCGCAGCAAAATAAAAATCATCAGGGGGAGAGAAATGCTCACGAGGCCAACCCCGAAGGGTGTGACGCACGAGAAGTGAACACGAAAAGCAAAACAAATCCATAAAGAAAAACACGGCGGCAGGGCGTGGCTGTGTGTGTGGCGCTGCGGGTGTCTGCCCGCCCTGACCGCAAGAAAAAAAAAAAAGGAAAAGAAATGTGTGCTCCGCCCCACAGGCCCTCGTCGCACGCCCACACGTCACGGCTCCCTCAGCGCGCCGTTCGTCGCGGCCCCTCCACATGCGTGCTGCGGGCGAGGCGCACAGGGCCGTCGTCATGAGCGTGTCGGTGGGTGTGCGAGTGGAGCAGTTGGGCGGGAAACACACGGCACCCCTCACAGGAAGAGTGCAGCAAGAAACAATTGAAAAGAGGGAAAAGTAAAAAAAAAACCACTTCCATAGTGATTGCCCTAAGGCAACAAGCAAAAGAAGGGAAGTGATTTGCAAAAAAGAAAACAAAAACAAGGAAAGCAAAAAGAAAAAAAAAGAAAAAAAATGGAATTAACAAAACTCATTGAGTAGTGCTGGGATGCCGCTCCTTTTTTGCTCCACAGAATTTCGAAGCTTTGCTCTCCCCAATTCATTCAACAGAGAGCCGCAATGCCCCACAGCCCCAGAAGCAGCAGCAACAACACCCGAGACACATATCCATGCACGGTGCTGTCACCAATTAGATACATGGCCGCCAACTCGCCCAAATGCCCCTTCTCAAGCAAAATGTCAGTGTCCGAGGGGGTTGTTGCGTTGGACTCCGATGGGATCTTGGTTTCCCCAGGCGTGGTGCTTGTGTTACCCGGTGCGGTGTCGACCGTCTGTGGCACCTCCTTGCCGTCCTCAACAGAAAATTCAGCCCCCTCAGTCCAAGAGATGTTGTCGGTGTCCTCCGCGGATCTCGGTTCGGCGTCACTCTTTGAAGGAGTGAGGCTGCTGTCTGAGCTCATTGTTCCCTCGGAATTTCTGCCCCCCGCCTCGAGGCTGAGGCTTTCCTCCGCGCCGGTGGTTCCGGTTCCAGTGGACCGCACGTCGTCATTTTCAGTGGAAGGCTCAGTGCTTTGTTGCACTTGGTGCTCACCGTACACTGGTGCAGTGGCAGTGTCCATACTCAATGATACAGCCACTGGAGACACTGATCCGCCACTCCTGCCATCCGCCTCTTCATCCTCCTCTGGCTGTTGTGTATCATAACTTTCAGCGGATCCTTCAACATCAGCGACCTCCGTCAATACCTCTGACTGTGGGTCTTGTGGCTGCACATCTGAATCCCGTTGCATCGATTCCTTCGCTTCATGCGGCGTGGTTTGCTGAGACGTTTTGTCTTCGGAAAGCTGGACATTGTCCTCTGGACGAGAGTTCCCTGCGATCTCCGTTGCGGTGGCAGGTTCGGAAACAGAGGATCCCCCGGCAAACGTTGAAAGGAGCGGTGCAAGCACCACACCATCGGCGCTTTCTTCCTCTTGTTTTTCAGTATCATCCTCATTCAATTCCTCATGGCTGGTGGCGCTCCCTTCACTCTTTGACTCGGAAGCAACCAAAGCGCCCGTGTTGGCCGCCTGTTCTGTGGGTTGTTTCTCAGCACCAAGTGATGGAATATTGACTTTGCTGGCATGGAGTTCATCCAGTTCACTTCCAAAAAGTTTCTCGTTGTACAGCATGACGTTGGTCACCGTCACGTGGCCGCCCGTTGCACTTTGGTGCTTACTGTCCCCACCGATGTAGAAGTGTGAGATCCTGTGCGAGTCAAACAGACTCTTATCATAGCTCTTGTGGTCGATTTGCTTTCCATCTACAAAGACAGTCCATTCATCATCATCATCCATTCGCAGTCCCACCTGATACGTCTTGTTTGGCTCCCAATAATCAAAATACTCCGCATCACCACGATTCCCCGCTATGGCCAACCACTTCCTGTCATGGGTGTACGACAGACCAAAGAGGACCGTGCTGCTGGTGTCATTCATCCTCACACCCATCAAGGGGACGGGGCTGCTGTCTTCCTTCGGCACCTCGTGGATGGACACCGTCGCCACAAGAGTGAACTTGTTGTTCGCAAAGTAGTACGGCACAGTCTGCCCCATGTCGCCAACAGGCCACTCCGCCCATGCTCCGGACACTTTGAACGTCAGTCCATTGGGACCCTCTATCCTTTTTCCCGCTGACCCATGGACAATGGCGTCCACGCCGAGGTACTCGTCCCTCCATGTGTTATCAGAGAAGTTACCGGACAAGAAGCCAACAAGCCCATCCGTGGGAACACGACCATTGCACATACCCTTTTTGTGCGCGTCAACAGTGCTACTGGAAACGAAACTGCAGGATTGCAAGGCGCCGTCCAAATCCTTCCATTTCTTCACCACTTCCTTTACCCGCTCCAGTTTCTCGGTCAGACGCACAGCAACAAGACTGTATGATCCGTCCTTCTTGTTCTCGTACAGTGAAATCAACTCCTTATTCTTCTCTTTCATCAACAGCGAGCTCGCGGCTGCGTCATCATCCTCACGAGATACCTGCCCAACATCATACACACGTGCCTTGTCCGTCACCCAAAGATGAAGCCGACCCTTTCCATTGTCCTCCTTCGCATACACCGGCGCGGTGACGAGCATCACCTCCTTTTCCTCAATGATTGCGGTGGTGGATCCACTCTGGACGCCGTACCCTGTTCGATTGTGTGAGTTGCCCCACACGCGGGTAATTGGCTGACCCGATGGATACCAATTGACTCCATCCGAAATGGACCTGTAAACGTCATAGTAGCCTCCAGCACAATGAGCCATCATGAAGAGTTCTTCGCCGTATTCGTATTTTTCCCACTTCACCATGGTTGGATCCCTGCAGCCCTTACCAGGCGTCTCGTATGAAAGCTGCCATTTGTTCTCCGACTTGGGGAGACGCATAGAGAGCAAAACTCTCGTTCCATCCTTGCCTTTGGCCTGCATGGGAAACACAAGCGCGCCGTCACCCATCACAGCACCCGATCCTCCACCGCCAATTAACTCGGTCAAGAAACCAGAATATCGTATGGCTTGAGGGTTCATCACATGGGTCTCATTCCATCTGATTTTCTTCTTTCCATTTTCTTCAGCGACAGTTCCCTTCACGAGTAAAAGGCCTGGCTCATTCGTACCTTGAATCTGCTGCTTTTTACGACTGTAGTTTCCCAGGAGCATGTAGACACTCTCCCCAATTACAAGTGTCGTTGGCCGCAACAATTCCGTTGTCCCAAAATTATTCGCGGCGGTGTCTACAAGCTGCATGCAAAACAAACTTATATCCGACGTCGAAATATCCATTGAGTCATCACTTATATTCAGGTGCTTTGAGACAATCCCAGCACAGCTGCCGGCTCCATTCCTTTCCCCGCACTGCGCTTCAGCAACGGCAAATACATCATCACCCACTTTAACGAGGCCAGGAACACGGAGCGAGGTGATTTCCCTGCCGGCATCCTTAAACTCCTTCCAATTAGCAAATGATATCGGCGTCGTCCCTTTAAAAGGATCAACAGCGGCCCCTGCCTGCTCAGCGGCCGCAGCTCCACTGCCACAGCACATCATCATGACAAATAGGAGCAGCACCGCAGAAGTAAACACACGCCGGGACATGTTGGGCCTCTGCGGCTCACTCTCTCTTCCTTCCCTCCTCCTTCCGCTGGATCCGGTCACGCGGCGACGGTTGTGTGTGCGGGGTACCTTCACTGCAGCAACACGTGAGAGCATACAAATATGTGTGTGTGGGCGGTGTGTGTGCTGTTGGTCCCTTCAGAGCCTTCGAATTTCACAGTAGCGTTTAGCGTTTATTTTCCTTCTTGGAGAAGAGCAACAGGCAACAGCGGCAGAAAGGCAACAAAACAGCAGTACACACCGTCACCACTCAAAGCGAAGCACAACATCACCATCCCCGCAGCCATTACTCCCCAGCACCTCTCAACAGCACACAAAAATTAAGGAAAAAAAAACATGTGATCGACCTCCCAATGAGGGACCGCAAGCCACGGTCCTGCAAATAAGCCAAGCGACAGGGGGCCACGTGTGCAGTGAGGAGCACGAGAGTTGCACTGCAACGGCACGGCGGCGTGGCACCCTGTTGGGAGCATCGATGCAGACCGGCGACATCGCCTGCAGGAAGAGTTGCTTCTCCCGCTGAGCAAAAAGGAAAAACAGCCTCAGCGCCCCAATGATGAGAGGTCGCCTGCACCTCCTCGCGGCACCTGCAAGCTCTGCAGGCACAAAAATGTAGATGACGCTCCCCTGCACGCATGACGCCCGTCTCATCCTTCAAAATGGCAACCGCATCCTGTGGCACCACACGCTGCAGTCGATGTGCACAGTCTCCGTCTCCCTCCCTCCTTTCCCTCTCCCTGAGAACTCATCGGCGGCCGTGGCACACTCACCAACATGTCAGAAATCACTTGTTTTTCTTCCTCCCCCGCACATCGCACAGCAGCACCGCCAAACGCATGCCACTCCTTCGTTCGCGGATTCCCCTCAGACACGCCTCCCGCCACATTCATCAACCCACAGCCACACAGTCCGTAAACGTCACGCAGCCGCCCCGCATGATGGAGCCGCACACACCAACACGGCACCCCGCTACTCGGTGCAAGCAGCGTCTGGACACACAAAACAGGTTGCCCCAGCGAACAACAGCCCCCTCCAAGCAGTGAGACAGGACTCGTCAGTAACAATCAAACAATCAGCCCCTCGTCTCTTCATTCCGCCATGCACGAGGTTCCACCTGCCCCTTGCATCATCCGTGACGCCCGGGCTCCCAATGAGCGAGCAAAACGCTATGGTCCCCTCGACTCAACGAGAAACCCATTGACAATTCCCAACCAGTCGTCTCCATGGGCTGTGCATGAGGAGCACCACGGCAAGAATGCACAGAAGCTTATATGCAAACCTCTCAACTCATTCCACGTCAATAAGCAGTGTGGCATCATGCCTGGGCTTCACAACAATGTCGGCTGGCGCTTCCCCGAGAGGCCTCCCATAAACACCGCACGTGGTCACAGTAAAGAAAAAGCAACGCCTCCAATCTGGCTGTCACCCCGCGGCGAACATCAAAGCACAATCCAACAAAATGCCGCAAATCATCACATATTTCACACAGACCATCGACAGCTTACGCCGCAAATGCACAGCACGGAAGAAGAGCCATGCTCACAAACACGCAACACACAAACACAGTAAGAGAGTTGGAAAAGCAGCACCCAAAGCCATCCCCTGTGGATGCAAATGATAATGGCACCAAACAACGCGAAGCACCAGTCGGGCACCACATGTGGGCCACAGACACCATCCACCTACCCATTCACTCTTCCTCCTCCAAATGGCGTGGCCCTCCTTCACCTCCACGAACACGCCTGCTGCTCAGTCATGCGAGCTTCTAACGCAAGCACTCAAGGTGCGTTTCGGTAATCCAAAATTCAGCACCTCAGAAAAACAAAGGAAATGCTCGCAGAGGCCACACGGCTCCTCAACGCAGCCTCAAGCCCTCCTCACGACTCTTCAATGCGATGGAGAGGAATACAGGCGGCTCTCGTGTCACAGAGGACGGCCAAAGGGAGCGGTTTTCACATGCAGAGAATGCCAAGTTGTGAAACAAAAGAGGCGGTGGGAGGGTTCGCAGGGGACGTCATCTGCCACGCCTGAAGTGCGTCGTCCCATTCGTGCAACGGAGAACCAACGACACGGTTGTTGCGGTGCCTGCCCGTGCGTGCACCTCACTCTCGCGCCAATGAACGCCTCAAGGAACATCCTGCAGAGGGCAAACAGCTGGCCGTGCAAACAATCCCGAGTCTCGTCAACGTTCCAGCAGCCGCTCCTTTGGCGAGGCGTCGCTCTCTTTCTTCCTTGTCTCCCGTGTGCCATCCTCGTATGAAATGAAAATGCCTTCCACAACTGGCGTCATCAAGCACCTCCAAGTAAATTTGAAAGGATTCACGGACTCGAGAAAAAGCATCCAAAGTGGCAGTCAACGTTAACTCAGCAACGCATGTCATCTTCTGCAGCCGCGTGCATTGCAACTCCCCTCAGCCGCCCACTGTTTATTCCTTCCTTGTAGACCCAAACCGCATAGCACACTTAAACTTGCTCGGATCCTCCACAGGCTCATGTAACGGTGTCCGCTACGCCCGTGCAGCTCGTGACTACATCACTTCTCCATCCACTTCTGCGGCACCGAATAGCGTGAAATAGGGATCCAAACCACCACATCTGTGAGGCAAACACACATGCATCACTCCAACGGGTGCCACTGAGAGAAATCACACGACACCACACTATCTCTCGCTCTCCCATCAGCGATTTGCCGTCAACAACAACAACGACATTGAGAAGCAGCCCCGAGACAATCCCTGAGAGCCGTCCCCACCCCGGCGAGCGACCGACTCCGGGAACCCTGCACACCAGTGCCGTTCCGGAAAGAACTCCTGCCACCGCCAACCGTGTTTTCCTGTCGCGTTGACACACGGAGCCCGCTTCAGAGAAACAACAGCCCGCTCCATTCAAAACGTGGCTATGAGAGTGCATGGCAACAGGCGCAGGGCGCACCCTCTCAGTTTCCAGTGCCGACAAAGTAAAAGAGCATCAGTGCGGACTTGCTGCAGCACGCACAGTTGTGCTTCTGTTGTCCTCCCTCGTGTTTTTTCAATTACATGGCCCGCGCTGCGGCAACGCGTGCCCCCAGACCTCTTGGTGTTTAAAATGTGCTCCAGCACAAAGCAGCTGGTCCGGACGCTGGTCGATGCCGTCAGCGCTGCGCCAACGAAAACAACAACCCCGTGCGGGAAACATTGCTGGCTCCTGGCCTCCCCGACAATACGGAGCAATTGGCACTGGCGCCGCGATGAGGCAGTCAAGCATGAAATCGCAAGGGGAAGCAACGATGACGCAGGCACAAGGAAGCCATTCCACCCTCAATTGAATACGGTGCCCCACTCCAAGCGGTCACACGGAGTGCACTGTTTCCACAAAAGAACTTGGTCGTCGTCCATCCCTTAAAGATGCTTCGTTTAATGGTGGGCCTTAGAACAAAAAAAAATAAAACGAAATGAACAACGTAGTAATACTTCATCACCGCTGGCCATAATCATTCTTTCATAGCAGGGCAATTTCCCTACTATGCCTCGTATGCACACACAGAAATCCACATGTATGAAACAACCCGCAATGTTTTTCTACCAGAAACCAAACTACCCCGTTCCCTCCATAATTTCTTCTTCGTTCACTGTTACGATCGCTCGCGTTGGACAGCTTCCGCATCCGTGTGTGATGCTGCCACCTGATGCTGCTGCATCTGCACTGTATGCACACACAGGCATCCAACCATATGAAACAAGCCCCAATATTTGTTACCAGAACTCAAACTACCCCCGCAATTCCCTAATTTGTTTTCCTATTTATTCCTTTAATTACTCCTCAATTCTAAGGCCTTCTTGGGGCGTCTTCGGATGATATTGACACTTGGTACTGGCGTACCTTTTCATTCCGGAACGCCGCAATTTCATTGTTGTCCGCGCCGCTCACATTATCGGAATTTACGACATCACATCCCTGCCAGTCATTCATCGGCGTGCTGTCTGCGTGCTGCACGTAAATCATCTCCCACGATATGTCTCGGGATGACTCCTCCCAACCACTAAAATATTCCGCCAGATACTCAGTGAACTGCCTCGCAGTGCTGGCTGTGGTGTGGTGCGCACTCGCCGCAGCCATCCGCAGCCCAACCAGCGTCATTGGATTTAACTCCATGAAGAAAAAGCCGTCCAACAGCGGAAAGTTTTCCACCTCCGTTACGTACAGCACCCCGCACTCCACATCAATCCTCTCAGAAAAGTGTTCCAGTGGCGGTAAGACATGGTGCCTGGTGGAGCGCTCCTGTGAGTACACCGCCAGCGCACAGCGGTGGGACTGACGTTGTGGTGATGGCCTCAGCTCCCTCAGCCTGCGTTCTATTGCACGCACAAAAGATCCATTCAAAAATGCAAACACGGTGCACCTTCCAAAATTTTCTGATATGAGATAATCCGTCAGCCCCGATATGAGTAAATTAAAATAATGCTGCTGCATTAACCTCGCCGACTAGAATAATGTTTTATTTCTGAGGTGAGCAGACACCGGTAAATTGAAAAAAAAATTCAGAACCGGAATTTTCACCTCGTACTCGGACAACCCTCGCAAGCCAGTAGAACACCTTCATACGATCCCAGGATCCACCACGTCCCAATTCAGTGTATTGCAAGATTACAGAAGAGGTCGCCTCATCGACGGTCTTGTGACACCGTTGAACCCAATTATCATACTTTCGCTCGTCAAAGATATAACGTGGAATAGGTCCCACTTCATCCATTTGGCCCTTCACCACCTGCCAGTACTCCGCTTGCTCCCGCACGGGCTGATGGCTCCTCATCCAAACACACATCGCCTTCACATCGCTTTCACCAGGGCAATTCATAACTATTTCTGTGTCACCGCTCCGCTTCACCCACTCTTTGTAGTTCCCCTCGAGTGGGGGTGACACCACAACCATGCCCCATCCCCTGGGAGGCAAATTTTTTTTTTTTTTTTTTTTTTTTTCTTCTCTTACCAGTCGTAGTAACTACACCTCAATTGTGCAGCTCTGGTAAGCGTACGAAGGAATTCAGTAGCAAGGATAACCTTACTCCGCGGGCAGCCATTATAGAATGGCTCAAACATCTGCCCTTCCGGCCCGTAAAACTAAGTAACAACTACTCATCGGGTTTGAAGCATGAACAGCAGGCGCTTAGCTTCCTCTCTAGCAAAGAGTACTAGACCCTGGCACCACGTTGAGGTGGCCGGCTGAGCCAGGGTGGGAGGCAAATCATCAGACGGTTCATCATCCGGCTCTGCCACATCGTAAATAATATACCCCTTCATCCCACGGTCAGACAGACTCCTCACAAGAGACTCATTACTGGAGTCGCCCATGTATGTCGACACCGTCTTGCTGGTCTTGTCAAACAGGAATTTTCGATCCGCAATAAAGTAAACAACCATTGGGAGCTGCTCCGCATCGCAGTGCAGCAGCTGGTAGAGGAGGTACGAGCCGGCAGCCTTCGACTTCCCAATCCCGGGCGTCCCGATCAAGGCGTGCGGAATTGGCGTAAAGTGGTCCTCAGGAAGACTGTTGAACCACGCGGTGAGATCGCCCTTCACGATCTGCCACACTCGCTCCACCTCACAGTTCACATGGCAATCACGAGTGGATTCATCCTCCTTCCACGTGTACGGCCATCCCTTGTCCGAGGTGAGCACCAGCAGTCTGGGACGCGCTGCACCGGATTGCTGCACTCCGTCATCCTTTTCGAAGGTGTCGCCAACTGCCCTGTGCCTCCATGACTGCGGTGGCTCCCCCTCCCTCACATCCATTCCCGTCCCCTCGCCGTCAGGAACCTCCACGACATGATGCCACCTCGCATCGTGCACAGACTCTTAGCATCCCTCCAGGTATCTCGGTGCACTCGTCGTCGTTGGATTCCTCGCTTCCTCGGCGGCTGCATCCAAAAAACTTTTAGTGACTTCATGAGCACTTGCCTTTACCTCCGCAGCGGCCACCAACCACCTCAGTAACTCGTACATGCCATTTTTGTAAAGCCTGCGTACATCCTCTTCCATGTCCATTTCATCCCTTACAGTCCTCTCCATCATCGCATAACGATCGGATGCCTGCATTTCGCCCAATACTCCCGCATCGCAAATATACTTCTTTGGGCCCTTAAAGAACGCCGTCAGCAAGACACCCCAATTGGCGTCCATAGCGCCCCTGCCGTCCAACTCCATCGCAAGAAAATCGTTCAGCCTCATTTTATCCACGCAAACCCTTCCTTCAAACACCGCATACTTAATCCTGGTGGAAACTTCAATCCCCAGCTCTTGTCGATCTCGGCTTTCCCTTTCTTCCGCCTCCCGCCTCTCTACTCTCAGTACATGAGAGCAGGCTGTGGTTATTTGTGCCCTTGCAGGAGGAGTGACCGTATCCTTCCTTTCAAATTCCCTCCATCGGTTGAGAGTGACAATATATTCTTTTTTAAGCTTATGTGAAGCCCCCAATAGAATGCACAACTCCTCACACTCTTTTCTCAGCTCTTGGTATGGCGGTGATGCCTTTAGTGTGCTCAACAACACTTCG